GAACAAAGACAACAACAGATCTTTTAATAGTCTTAAGTTATCAAAAATATTGTTCTCAATCAACATTTTTCCATCTTAGCACCTTATCATGTCTGATATCCAGAAATTTTCTTTTCTAGATGACATAAATGTATTTAAAATGATAGTAGTCTGTGTTCTTAATGTTAATGTCAACAATTAAGCTGATCAAATCATGTGTGATGGACATGGTTTTTTCAATTAGGAGCAAAATCTTCTTCAAAGTATATGGTATTATGATATGCTATGATCAACTATTTTCCTTGTTATTTCTATTTAAACCTTTGGATTGAAAAAAGAAAAGGAAAAAAAAAATTCAATATTAAAATTAAAACAAATGGACATATTTAGTTGACTGTCAGTTCTGTAAAATGTAGCAATTTTAAGTTCAACTTCCAGTTTAAGAATAATTTATAAGATATTCTAATGTACATTGTATTTCAATGTGAATAATTTATGCTCTTTTATTTTCAATTTAAATTAGATGGTTTGCATTGCTAGAAATGCATATCTATGTCAGCCTGTTTGTTAGTTTGTTTGATTGTAAACTGCTGAATGGAGTACCTGACTTGGTAAGATCTCTAAGAAAACCCTTAATGGAGAAAATTTGTTGTTTTAGTATTAAAACATTACTGATATCTTTTTTTTTTTTTTTTTTTTAAATAAGTGAATCTACAGAAAATATAACTTTATACACTCAATCAAGCAGTTATTTTTTAAACTTTTCCTTTTTTTCTAATTAAATGTTTCAACACTTATTAGGTCTCTTTAACAATTTTAGAGTGCTATAATAAATATGGCATAAGCAATTCGTTTTCTTTCTTAGTATTACTAGTGAGTGATGTCATTGTAGTGAAATCCCACCGTAAAGAAGTTCAAGATAGTTCACCCCTTCAGTGACTACTGGTGGATGATTGAACAAATTATTTATGTACAAAAAATCCTAGCAATATTATCTATATTATTTGTATTAAAGTTAGCAGAAGTTATTCAATTAATAAGTTGTGAACATTTGTTTTAAATCAACATTTAAAAAATAAATTAACTGTGCATTTTTTTTGTCTTCAGTGTGAACTGCACTTAGTTGGAACACAGCAATCTGTACAGAAATGCCCTGTAATGTTAAGTCTGGCCAAATAATGTAGATGTTTGCTGAAACTTAATATACAAGTAGACACACTTATTATAATACTTCCTGTATTACATTATATTGACTAACAGTTGTTAATACTTTACTTTTATAGTTTATATTTATCTTTTTATATATCTACATATTTTTAAATTATAATTGAAATGGAATACAGTTTTTCAACAAACATTTTTGGACTATTAATTCTTGTAATGTTTATTTTCCATACCTCATGTACAGATAGACAATTAACATTGAGAATTTGTGTGAACTGGATAGGAATATCCTTTTATTTATGTTTTCCTTATGGTAAGACTTTTTGCTGTTTGTAAGAAAGCAACATCATTGTATGTTGGTGTTAAGCTGGGTTGTTCTCAAATTGTTAGGTGTAATTGTAGATTTTAGTGGATTCTTTGTCCTCTAGTAAACATAACTAAACTTTGCTATGAATAAAGCACTGGGACAAATCCACTGAATAAAAATTCCACTTAATATGCTAATTTAAAAATCTAACAAGGATTTATTTGATTCACAATATTGAAGTCACATGAAATAGATTTCTTAAGCCCAACTAGTATTAAGAATTAAACAAGTAGCTGAACTCCAATCCAATCCTGACACTAGGCTTTGTCCCTTCTACACTCAGTGCCCTCTTGTGAATATGACCTTCAAAAAATTCTATGATAAATTGTAAGTTAGGTACACTATTTATCAAAGATTTGTGATGTGACAATTCAATCTATTTTAAGTTTTTTATTTTATTTTTTTTTACATTTACAGGGGGACCAGTGGTCGCTCAGCATTTCATGTACTTTTATATTTTGCCATGTGACCTCCATGCCAATCTGCTTTCAATTTAATGATTTCTGCCTATGATTTACATGCATCTGGTATTATGCTCAAAAGGCACATATGTCTGATCTTTCCATAGTAAAATGAAACATTTAAAAACTTGACTCCTCTATAGTTAAACTATGAATGTTGTGAATAAGGTAACATCATAGAGTTTCTCACTGGATGTAACTTTAAATAAGTAAAAAAAGAAGAATGAAGTAATATTTTATAATTTATTTTATAGTACATTAACAAGGAGCTATTAATAATAAGATTCCAGAAACTGGGTTATGTAGTATATTGGACTAATGAGTGAAGTCTTAGATTTATGGGGTTTCCAAAAGCATGATTTGCAATTTATATCTATCATTGTGATGCTGATGAACATCAAATTATTTTATATTAAAGTTGAATGTGTGTGTGAAATGCTTGTTAACTCATTCGTTGTATGAAAGGTGGGGGAACCTAGTACTTGAACTACTTAGTTGCCACAAGGCTACTTCTTTAAATCTCTTGTTTATAATTTTGGCAGTGGAAATGGTAGCCCAGTCAGGTGTTGCACAAATACTAAGATCTTGATTATGGTATATGTTATTGTGTTCAACAGGTTAATTTCTGTCTCAAGCTTAACACTGAAGAGCTTTTCTTATCAATGTTACAAGCTGTAACTGAAAACTTACTAAAACTATGCAGCTTATGATGATAATTCAAAAGTACAATTTTCAAAACTTGATGTTTAAATATTTTTAACAATATACAATTGAAAAAAGACAGTGAAAAAAAAAAATGTGAATAAGGTAGCCTTAGTCCAGTTAAGTGTTTATCTTTGTTTAGTTTAGTGTATTGAATACTAAAAATATATTTATGAAAAATGGACAATAACACATTAACTTTTAATTAAAAATTTTTTTTTTTATCAAGAATTCATAGAAATCTTTACCTATTACAAAACAGATCAAATAAGCTTCTTATAAGTGAGTGCGGTTTATTTCAATCATAGTCAAAGATAATCTGTTATTGAACCTTTTACTTGTAAACATTGTGAAAAAGAAAATTAAATTTGGTTGAAAAGCTATTTAGCGTTACATGATATGTAACTTATTTTATCTGTCTAGTAAAAATGAAGGCTCCTTTTGTTACTTTGCTATCTATATGCAAATGATGTAAAGAGTGTCTGTTTCTGTGATCATTGTTAATATCATGTGGACAGCACTATTCCCTGAAATTTTTGATAGACATTGAAGCTGGTTTGATTTTTGTCTTGAAAATCTTGAAATTCCAAAGAGATTCTAACTTACTTAAAACCTCTTGGTTTGGAACTCAAGCCTTCTTCTACTTAATCTGCACAACACAATACTATGGCTTGAACTCGAAAACAAAAAGCATTTTAAGCTGTTGCTTAACCTCTTCATTAGTCCTATGCTTTCCAGATCCATACTTCTCAAGTTAACTAGGGATTAAGGCACAACCTATTATGAACTGTTTTCTTAGTTGTGTTCCAGCTACCGGTTGGAATGTTTCTCAAACATGCATCAAGTTTGCTTGAAAGTGGAGCATGCAAAGGAGTCAAAAATCACTATTTCTATTAGAAGTATCAGTAGAAAGCTCTTTCAGTAAAATAAATAGGATACTTTACAAATAACCAACAGAAAGATAATGCATGCTGATAAGGGGTACTTTACATGTTAATAGAGATAGTTGAAGTCTTACAAAATTCTTGAATTGAAATATATTTGTATTTTAACATTTCTTAGCTCATTATGCCTCCTCTTCACCCTAAAAGACCACCATCAGCTGAAACTGTGCATGACTAAAAAACGTCAAAGAGCCCTATTAATTCTAGTGTAAAATTGTATTATTTGTTTTTTTTTTATGATAAATCAATATCATTTTAAGTATCATTACATGCACAACTTAAACCCTGAATTTCATTCGGTCTCAAAACAGCACACAAACCCCAGCAATTAATTTCATCCTAGTGCTAGTTCCTTGAAACAGTTTATGATGTCCAGTAGCTTTCGAAAAGTGTTCCTAAATTATTGCAGAAGTGGGCTTGATGAAAATGTTCTATTTTCATGTCTTATTCTTATCACTTAATTGTAATACATCAGCATGCTATTGGTGGAAATTGTGTGGTACTTTTATGGGTTGCTATGCCAAAAAAAAATTTACACTCTTTTAAAAATGGATTTTTAAATCATGATATTGTTAAACCGATGTAATACTGAAAGATTTATGTTCTCCAGGTCTGTATGAGGCCATGGCTGAGCCGATGTGAATTAAACTGAGTATTTTGACATATTTTGCAATTTGAATAAATAAGTTGTAGTTAATATTGAAGAACAATCTTATCATTGAAGGCAGTTTTAGTTCACACAATGTGCTCATAGGGTAAAAAAAAACACAAGACTAAAATTAATAAAAAAAAAAAAAAAGATTTAATTATCTTCACAATATAACTTGATCAGCCAACAATATTAAAACTTTTTTTTTTCTGTAACAACACTTGTAACAATGAAGATATTAATGCATAATTATATTTATATCTTTTAAAAAAAAAAAAAGAAGCAAAAAGAATTATAGGTCAAATAAAAATCTACTACATGATGATTGACAAATAGTCCTTTGTTTCCTACCACTTATTGCCATGGTACAAAGCCTTGCTGAATTAAGGAAGGCACTAAAACATCTTACTTTAATTTCAACAGAATCTAAGGTATAGAAGAAAATACATGTAGAAAACTCAACTAAATTGTTTTCTGTTTCACTCAAATGTTTTGTGTAGATAATATAAAGGGACCCAAATCTTTAAGCAAGCTAAAAGATTTTTTTTAAAGATCCTTTCATTTGACATACAATATAATTACAGTTTTATGAACTATGAGAATTAAAATAAAAACAACAAATGAAGACATACTACATCAGAAAAGGTAACAGCATAAAATAAATACAGTAGACAATGACTATAAATGTCACCTCTCTTACAAATCACTTGACATTCATCTTGTTCAATGGTAGCCCCCCCCCCCCCCTCCAAAGCAAGAAACAGTTCATCCCCCACATTATATAATATGTGGATGTTATTCATTTCAACATACAATGAAGAGATCAAGTCCCTCAAAAAACAAAAAGTTGAATTAGTCATGGTGAGCTACATTACAGTAAAATGCAGTCAGTCAAATTAATGATACTACATTCACACCACAAAAAAGACAGGAAATATAGTGGCTTGAGACAAACATAAACATATCTGTTTCAAAGTAAGTGATGGCCAATAAAAGGTCACAACACTTTTGTAAACCAATGAACAGCTTTACTTTGTATGTTCTTTAAACACTGAACAGCTAAACTATACTTTGTATGTTCTTTAGCCACCAAACAGATAAACTAAATTTTGTGGGTTTTTTTAATCACCAAACAGATAAACTATACTTTATATGTTCTTTAGCCACCAAACAGATAAACTAAATGTTGTGGGTTTTTTTAATCACCAAACAGATAAACTATACTTTGTATGTTCTTTAGCCACTGAACAACTAAACTTTACTTTGTATGTTCTTAAACTACAGAAAAGCTAAACTTTACTTTGTAAGTTCTTTAGCCACTGAGCAACTAAACTTTACACTGTATGTTCTTTTTGAAAGCTTCTAAGGATCCAAAAGGAAATAGTATTTTATTAAATGCAAAGCATTTAATAAAAAAAAAGTCAAAATTGAAACAATGTCAAATATTCAGTCAGGCAAATTTAAAAATAGAAACTAGTCTGATGATAGAAAGAAAAACATACACATTTTAAATCCCACCTTAACAAACAAACATGAAATAATCTGGAGCTTGTGCACCAAGAACAACATGTATAAACTGGCATAGTCTTATGATAATATGCTTTAATACTTTTTTAACGTCTTTCTTATCAATGCCATTCTCTGTAGAAACAAATTTTAAAAATTTCAAAGGTTAATTAAATAAAATAAATTTGAAAAAATAATGATTTTCTTTGCGCACATAAAAAAAAAAGAATATACCTGTTTGTGTGCTTCTGTGGTGATTGATTTTTTGTAAGGACGAAGTTCTTCTGAACCAAATCCAGGAACTTGCATATTCCAGCTACGATCTGATATAGAAAAATGAAGATAATTAAGTCAACAGTGCTAAGTATTGTATGAGTTTTTCCACTCTCTACAAACATTAGTTACTCCCTAGCATTCATCTGAATAAATCCGTCTCTGATGGATTTTTTTTAGCATTCTTTAACAAACAGGATGATAAACATTCTTTCACATTTTGTGGTTAAGTACTCAGTCTAACAATTGTATAAGAAGATAAACTCTTTGTAAGCAGCTATTTAAAAAAAACATGCTTGTAGTAAGATTGGTTTTGAATTAGAATCAAAAGGGCACTTCCTTACCTAAACAAAGCTGTACATCTTTTGCTTCCAAAGTGTTGGACCTCCTGTGTCTGGCCAGCTGACACGAGGCTGACACAATGTTTTCAATAAAGTCATCTGCTACTTGTAAAAGTACCTAAACAACAGAAAGAAGAATCATTAGCTGCATAAACAAAGACAATGTGATGAAACATGACTGTTGTCTTACAGACCACCTGGTCAAATGGATATGGAAATGGATTTTAACTCTGAGCGCTCTTTTTGTTCCACACAGATTTTGTAATGCCTAACACAAGTAGGGGAAAAAGTTAATTGGTATATTTGATTTAATTGATATCAGAACACATGCAATATTTAACCTCTTAGACAGACTTTTTATAGAAAGATTTTGTAAAAAATAAATAAATGATGTAATTTTATAATGTCCATTGCCTTGTTTTTAAGACACACAGATGAGATATTTAAATAAATGTTAACCAGAAATGAAAACACAAATTAAATGCGTAAATAAATGTTTAGCAATAACAATACTTACATATAGTTATATTAAATTTAATGAAAAACAACACCATGAAATATTTTGTCCATAACCTTATAGACAGTAAACAACATTTTCAATTTTTGACTTGATGTTAAGTTAACCCTTTAAGGATTAGGAAGGTGTTCAATGATCAGCACCATGACCAACCTTATTGACATCAGCCAGAAATGTCAGTTTGGTTGCCCAGCTATGTACATAGAGAAACCAATCTTTGATGGTGTTTAGTTTTTCATAAAAACTGGTAAACATTTATTTCAACGTAGAAATAACTATAGGAATACATGTGCTCACATCTTCTACATCGTCATCCATCTGCTCAAGAGGATCCACTTCCTTAACAAGGTCACGTAGCCTGGCTTTATCCAAGACTCCAGAACTCACTGAACCTTGGTTATTGACTGATGCTGCTGCTGCTTGAGAGTTGGAAGATGATTGTCTAACACTAGATTCTGATGATTTACCAGCATTCATCATCTTCAAAGAAAAGAATAATTTATACATAAATTTATTTTCTTTTTGTAAGAGTTTAAAAATGTGTACATTCTGAATGGAAATTATAGACTTAATATTGAAATGGAATATTGTCCATTACAAACATATTGGATAATGAAAAAAAAAAAAAAAAGATAAGATAAAATTCACTTTAACAAAAATTAATTTATCTATGCAAAAAAATAATTATTCAAGCAGCATTAATCAATGAAAATTGGACTTGATTTGGTATACAAAATTCTACAGGATGTAAAGTTTAAATACTACTAACATTTCCAACAGGAACAATAATTTGTTCTGGTTGTGAAGATACAGGCTGTTGGTTTCTGACCACTAATGGGCTACTGTTTGCTGCCATAAGGATTGGCGACCCCAAAGGACCATTGTTCATGATTGACGCTGTGTTATTAATGTTATTGTGTGAAGGGTTGGGACTTGTTGCTCCTGACAGAGCTGAGGGAGTTGAGACCAGATTCTGAAAACTCATTATGCTGTGTTGGACAATCTGTGAACAAAAAGAAGCAATTAGCTGCTTGTAGCTACATGAAATGTAATTATGTATTAAGACAAAAATTATTGTGAATAAATGTAATCAATAAAATTCAAGAACAAATAATCTCTTGAGAGAAATCAAAGCATCACCCTAAACTTTTTGAATAAATTCTTGAGAAGGTAAAATCTCATTTTATAAGCCTTGGATCAAAACCCTTCAGTTGTGCATTATACATGTTGATGTTTAGAGCAAGTGGCTTCACCAGAAAAATTCTGGAATAATATTAAGTTAAGAGGTATCACTATAACTTCTTGGGTACCTGTACCAGTTTAGAACAAATATTTTTTCTCAGATTTCTAAAGAAAATTAAAAACTAAAATAAAATTTTACAAACTTTGAAATGATTTTCATATTTCACTATTAAGTGCAATGACTACTTTTATTGTTTTCTGAAAGTATAACTCTTTGTTTTAGTAATAAAGTATATGTATGTATGTATATATATGCAAATAAATAAGTATAAATTATTATGATCCCCCCCCTCCGCTCCACTGATGACGTTAAAAACTGACATGCATTAGTTAAAATCTGATAACACTATTGTGATGATTAATGTTTTCTTTAGTGCCAATATATGTTGATGATTTTATATTTATCATTGTTTCAAAACATTATTTTCTTTCCTTTTTTTATGTCTATAATGGCACAAAGAGAATCACTTGCTGGAGAAGTAAAAAATGATTAAAACACACTGAAAAAACTTCTGTGTTCTTCTTTCCTTTCTTTAATAAACCTCTTCAAACAATGCATTGATTCTCAATTCAGCATCAACTTGACATAAAATTCTTGTTAATTCACTGAAGTAATAAAACAACTAAATAGTGTTTCTTGGTTACACTATTACAACTTTACTCTGATACAGCATCATACTTATACAACTTAGTACTGATACGACTGAGCTTTCTATATTTAACTTGACTCTAAACAACTACTGAACCTGCAACCGCTCAAGGACCCCGACTAACTTGCTTTCCCCCCAATTTATAGCTTTTTGATCCATCTTTTTCGAAATCATAAAAACTTCTGAATATTTTTATTATATGATCTTCTAGAAAATGACATATGCAACTTTTTTTCTGACCTATTTCTCTGATTGGATGATTATAATTAACATGTGTTTCTTTTGTGACCCTGACCCCCATTTCTAGAAAAAGGTAGAATGTCACAGTCTCAGTTTGTGACAACTACAATTGTCAATTCTCTCTAGATAGGTAGGGTGAATGCGGGTACTTAAACCTTTAAAAAAGTGACCCCTTCTATTATTTGTAGTGGTAATTAATTAGTTACGTTTTAAATAGTGTTAAAAGGGAGCTTATACCTGCAGTATTGAGATATATGGCAGTGATTTGTGGTTCTTCCCTTAATTAAGCTTTGTTTTTCATTTCTTTAAAGATTTTCTTGTACCTTGTTTGTTCTAGATTTATATCGAAGACAAGTCAAGTTTATGACTAAACAGGTTAATATAACACTTACTTATTGCTTGTATAATAGTTAAATGCAAGAAGTTTTGTTTCTCACAATTGTTATTGCTGCAGTAATGGGAAAAATGTTATATATTCTTTTTTTTTTTAGCAGTGAAACCTCAGTACATATATATAAATTACTCACTCAGTCTGGTACAAATTTTGTAAATTATAACATTATTTCTCCCACATATCATTACATCTAAAATTTAGTGACTAGAATATCTAGATCTAGTGATCCTAGTCCTATATATAGATCTAGTCATCTACTCATCATCATCTAGACTAGTATTCTTAGATCTATATCTAAATTTGCTACTTTGACATCTTAAATCTAGAATTCTAGACTAAGACTAGAATATAGCTATTAGATATTAATATTGAAATATATATATTGTAATTAATATTGTTACTTTTTGTACATGGAGTTGAAAGTTTATAAGAATTATAACTAGAATCTATAAAGACATTAAAGATTTACTAAAGACTAAAGCTCGTGGATCGATGATGACCATTTTTGTCATCCAGGGGGCTGAGAGCTTTGCAATGGGGCTTTGTGACTCCTCAAGTGTCTGGTGAGACCTATGAATGTGAGCTTTTTTATCTGACGCTTTTCTTCTGCCAACGCTGTTCTCTTGTCCTCAGCAATTATAATATGTCTCCTTCTGTCTCACAAGACAATGGATGCACCAGTTACATGCACAAACTGTGGCAAACTCTGACGCTCCAGAATTGGCTTGATCAGTCACTCCAGATTCTGCACCATCTCAAAACAAAACCAAAGACTCATCTGGGCGCATCCATTATAGTATTAGAATACTTAAAACAATAATATCTAGTTATAATATTTATACTATGCTTATACTAAGATTTTAGATCTTATCTTATATAATACAGACGTTACTTCAAAAAAGAAGATGATTACATCCTACGC